ATATATTAAATCAAAGTGTTATATAATAAAAGATAATAATAAAATATTAATGAATAATAATGGTATTTGATGAATAGTGTTACACCAAATTTAGTGTAACACTATTCACACGCCAAAATGGTGTAAGATATGGTGTTGGCTTGGACCAAAACACTAAGGACACGTTTGGCCATATGGGTTTTTTTTTGGCAAATACATATTTGGCCATAGATTTTATCTACATTTTGGCAAATTCCCAAAACCCAAAACCCTTTTGGCCCAAAATATCACTATTACATTTTTTAAAAATTATCCCAAACTTTTATATTTTATAAAAGAACCCACCGTTTATTATTTTGTAACAATGTTGCTTCGTCTTTTCGGTCATCTGATAATGTATTATGTAGTTCATTATAAAAATGATAATTTTATATCAAATTTATTTATGTTCAGGACTATGGTTTGCGATAATATAATGAATATTATTGATAAAGGTAATGTTGGGTATTTGTGATAATTTTTAAAACTTGTGGGTATTAGTTATGTTTCATATTTTTTTTTTTAAAAATAGTAAAATATGTTTTGAAAACTTATGTGCAAATACATTTTCATTTTCAAACTAAACTTCACCCAAATCAGATTTTTCAAAATAAATTTAGAAATCTATGGCCAAACGCTAGCTAAATCTTACACCAAAATAGCATTTAGTGTAAAAATTGGCTAAGGGTTGGAGGTGATCTTAGTGTTTCAAAATAAAAAGATTAGTATAAAAGAAAAGGACAGATTAATGTAAAGCACAAAATATTACTTCAAATTCGGGGGGAAAAAAGTCTTACGACAAAGATTTAGCTACCCGCAACGTGCTCTTATCCTTAGCCACAATATTCTCCCAAAACTATGGATGTTTCACTTTCATCCAAAGTTCTTTTCACCCTTTTCCATCTCCAGGAAAATTCTATCTTCTTGGAAAAGTTTCAGCATGGAATAACTAATTTAGTCATTAACCTTCATTAATTTCAAACGCAATGAAGTACTTGTCGGTAAACTCTGTATTTTTTACCAACAAGTTACATTGGATTATAATGAGAATGAACAACAATAAACTTAGCAAGTCAATAAACACTTTAAAAGAATTCTTATAATTATTATGTCCTGCACCTAAAAATAATAAACAAATTATAATAAGTTGAATTAATAAATTTAAAAAATAAAATAGATTACCTTTTACAATAGACTAAATATACCGATGGAAAATGTACATTTTATTACACTGAGAGCTAGAGTATATAAATTAAACCCCAAACTCTTAATATTAAAATGGATGTATATATATAATTAGATACATAGTGAAGAATTCATTTAACTGGAGCCAACTTTGCTCATATTTTTGTTCTTGCAGAGAAAAGATCGATCGTTAGCAGTAGTTTCAACTTATATAGTTAAAAAAATTGTTAGCTTGGACTAACTTCATATATTGCGATAAGATCTTGCTTACCTAGAACTTAATGTGTTGCGTGTGTGTTGACATGTTATCAGTCACAAAACCTCCTTAATCCTGACGAGTTTATGAGCACATGCATCCCACAGCGAAATTAACCCAGATCAATACCAAGGAGCAATTTCATACTTGAAAATTAGAGCTTTCTTTTGGTTAGATAAAAGATACTTATATTAATAACTAATACATCAAAGGGTACAAGGTCATGAACCGCAGAACAGAGTATTATTCTTTAACATTACTTCCATTAATTCCTTCATTACTGGTACTATCCGAAATATTTCTATCAAAAGTAGTTCCTAGTAGGGTGCCATGTGGGCCGGTCCGGGCCCTAAACGGGCCAAGCGGGCCGGTCCAAACGGTCTCGATTCCGGGCTGGTCCCAAACTAAACTGGCCAAACGGTTCCGGGCTAAACAGTCTTTTTTTAGAAACATGTCCGGGACTGGGCCCACGAACTCATGATCCCGGGCTAAACGGGCTGGGCCCACGGGCTAAATGGGCTAAGTGGACCCAACGGCTAAAATATTAATTTAAAAAAAAATTAGAATTGAAATTAGAGACAAAAAGATGTAAAAAAAAATATCTAAGGCAATGCCTTGTAAATTTTATTATAGAATTGTGACCTAAACTTTTTAATTCAAAATTTAAAGACAAAAATATTGTAAAGAGACATTCATGCCTGATAATATCTAAGGATTTTCCCTGATTCTTATTTTTAGAAAAATATTTTTTTAAGGAAGCCATCTTAATTAATCAAGTAATAGCAAATAAATAAAACAAACAAAAACTATAATATTAAGACTTAAGAATTGGAACGAGTTTATTGAATTGACGAATAACTTGTTGAAAATTGATTATTCTTGAAGACTTGAATATTTCAATTCACCAACTTCACAATTTTTTCACAAATTGTAACAACCTCAATATTTTTGAACTATTTTTTGGAATAAAGTAAGCAATAGTTGCAAGTATAGGAGAAAAGTAGAGAGAGGTTGCGATAGATTGATATTGAATTTGTAAGATAAATGAAAGAATAAGGGGGTATTTATAGTTGAAAATAGGAAAAAAGTGTAATTATAAAAAGTTTGGGGTTAAAACAAAGTTGGGGGAGGGGTTAAATGGCTATTTTCTAAATAGCCAACGGCTATTTTTGGTCTGCCCAACGACTATTTTCTAAATAGCCAATTTTTATTTTATTTTTAAAAATAAATAAATTACCTTTGGGACCGTTTGATCCGCCAAGGGACCGATCCGGTCCCGGTCCCTGGCGGGCCATACGGTCCCGGTCCTACCGATTCCAAAATCAAAAACCAGCCCACGAGACCGACCTAGACCCACATATATCGGTTCTATCGGTTCCGACCCACTTAGCCCGTTTGTCCCTTTTGAACTGTGGCACGGATGTCTACTATATATAACAACATAGATCATGTAAAAATAGAGGAGGAAAGTACACCATCCTATCAAAAAGCTGCATCCTTGCTCTGTACTTGGCCAAAAGGTCCGTTACCTTGTTAGAGCTGACTCTATCATTATATAGTTGTCATTTAAGAGCCACTAAGACATATAGCTTGTTTGGCTTTTTGAGAAGTTATGTATTTTTCTCAAAATTATTTAAGTAATCAGTTTATGTTTGACTAATTAATTTAAAAAGTACTTTTGAACAGTAATTAGTGTTTGGTCAAGCTTTTAAAAACTACTTCTAAGTGTATTTTTCTCAAAAGTGTTTTTTGAGAGAAGTTACTTTTTTCTACTTCTCTAAAACTGTTTATGTTTCTCCTAAAAAGTATTTTTTTTTTTCCAAAACCTTGCCAAACTCTTCAACTTTTTAAATTTTATTTGTTTTTTTTTGAAAAAAAGTGCTTTTAGCGTTTAATAAGCTTGGCCAAACAGGCTATTAGCTTGGTGACTGCCCGGTAAAGTATACACTCCATATATCAAGAGCAACTTCAACAAGATTTACTGGGTCTAATTATTTTTACTGGCCTAGTAAAATCAGATATCTGGACGGGAAATTTTATACATAAGAACAAAAGGATGAAACAGGAGAGAGGAACATGGGACCAAAACCTCCCAGTCCTATCTAAAGGGGGAACAGCCTCACCCTTTTTATATATATGAAGATCTCAAAATTGGTGGCTCTTCACTCAGCCTTATTATCTCATTTTTTATGTAGGATTCAACTTGGCTGAAAGCTCTAGCTCAAGGCTGTAACATTATATTAATGCAGATATTCTGGTGAAAGCCATTAATGAGAATAGGAATTAAATTTTCAAGAAGAAATTGCGTTACAAGGATTTTTCTAGCAAAGGAAGTGAATCAAAGGCAAAAGCATGTTTTTCATAACACACAAGTTGCTAACAGACAAGAAGTTTGATCATTATTGGATACAAATTCTTGAAATATATATATTAAATTCAGAGCGAAGAAAGCAAGCTACTCAATCACAATCATAGGGTGTAGTGGAATAGTTAAAACCCGTTCATCCTTAACCAGTGGCATCAGCTACAAGTTATGAAAATGAAAACCTTTTGGTAGGGAGTGCTTTAAATGGGACTACTTGACATGAGTAAATCTGAACTAATCAAGAGCCAATGAGTTTCGGATATTAAGTGTCTAAAAAGAAGCAAGCTACTCAATGAGAAGGAAACATTAGTTGTCATTAAGCTAGCTAGCACCCTCCCACAAACTTCTTTAACCTTTCTGAGATTCTTGCAGCTCCGTATTGATCTGGTGCACACTCTCCCATCTACAATATAATGAAGCAATGAAACACATCTCTGTCAAATAAATAACCACACCCCTTCAATTCATTGAGAAATAAATATATAGAGGAAAGAAACAAATGGAAAACCTTAGAATGAATGGAATGGACGATGGTGTCACAAATGAGAGTATAACTGGCATTTATAACTTGTACGCCTTCTTCATGAAGCAGACGGATAACATCAGTGAAGATGAACTGATAATCCAAACCAGTAGTTAGAACCACCTGTAGAGCTGAATCCACACTGTGGATTTCTATATGTGGCAATGACAGCCCTGTCTTTCTCCCACAGCTTGAATTAGAACTTGAATTTTCACCTCTTTTTAAGCTATCTTTTTTCTGTGTCATTCTCTCCAAATCTATCTGCAGTCTTTTTATATAGTTGATTGCCTCTTCCAGTTGATCTGGCAGTGACAAAACTTCCTGCAAATTAAGCCCAAATAATTTTGCGAAACGTGTAACAATGATAAATGATATGATGCAGATGCAGTTCCATATATAAATTAAAATGAAAACACTAAAGAAAATTTTATCTCTTAACAAGATTTTGTTTTCAAATAATTATATGAGTATGATTCTACTAGATCTGACTATATGATCTCGAACATGCTTCAAATCCGGCGGATTTTGGGAAGGAGGACATAATTATGACATGCGTGAAATAGAAGAGAAAAATAGAAAAAAACTAAAGGAGAAAGAAAAGAACCCTAGAATGCTGCTGATTAGGGACAAGAGAATGGAGCTTCAAGTAGAGAGCTTTCATTTGGTTTCTTCTGTTTTTCTCAATAGTCTTTCTGTCAGCTTTAGATGATGAGGAACTTGGGTTGTTACACTGTTGCTCCATCTCTTATCTTTATAACCTCTCCAACAAATTTGGCAAATAAACAGGATCTTATTCCTTCTATATTTAGCAGGAGATGTTTTTAAAGAGTAGTAAATGAAAGCAAAAGGCATTTACTCCAGAAGAATATAATATCAACATAGAAAAAGTTTGTGTATGAAGAGATAACATTAGGGCTATCCTTCTGTATTTTCCCTTTTATGGGTCCCATATATGGGACTATTTTTGACTACTCCTGATTCTGCAGTTACAGAGAACCAAGACTGTTCCAACAATTGGCCCAACTATACCTATGTTCATCATTCTTCTACTTAATTTAATACTTTGTCTTTGTCCGTTTCAATACCCTAAAGAATCATTATTACGCGAACCATAGTGCGCCATCGATATGCGCCACCAATATGCGTTATGTGTATTTACTGCCTATAAAAGCCTAACTCATTTTAGTTATTATTTGCGCTTAACCAAACAAATAGGAAAACTTTCAATTAATTTTTTATTTTTCTTGCATTACGAAATGTCTGGACGCAATGACGTACCAAGGTGTTATTGTGCCAAACGTGCGATTTTGAAGCCATGTTGGTCAAATTGCAATCTGGGACGCAGGCGCTAGATCTGTCAACAACTTTTAAGTGATTATTTTGGAAAAACGTTAGTTAATATTTTTTTATAACTTGTTAATTAATAGATATAGGATATAGTGTCCATATAAAAGTAATTTTAAAAAATACATACACACACACACAAATATATATATATATATATATATTTATTTAAAAATTATTTATATAAAGGATGACAAAACCGACCGACTTCGATCGGTAATATTATTAAATTTATATTTTAATTATTTTAAAATTATTTTTCCAACCGAAGTCGGCTGGAAATATTTAATTATAACTTATTCCGGTTGGTTAATTAAATATATATAATTTTTGTTATATTAAAAACCAATTGCCTTGGGCTGGAAATAATAATTTCAAAATTTCCGATCGAATTCGGTCGGAAATTTGGAAAAATTTTAATAAAAATTATTTTTGTACATTATATCAAATATTGACCAATTTCTGACCGAAATCGGTCGGAATTTTTGTTTTTTTGCTGTGGGCACTATTTCCGTTGTCAGAAATATTTTTGTTGACTTTTGCGATCAATTTAGCAATTTTCAACCGATTTCGGTTTTTTTTCCGACTGATTTCGTCGGTATGCTTTGGACGAAATATGCCAGTTTTCTAGTAGTGTATTTTCCTTCTGTATTTTCCCTTTTTACTTGAACTCATTTGATTTAAAATAAAGCACATATATTTTGTATGGCTATAAATCATTGCATAAAGGTAAATTGTTTCCAAATAAGAAAAGTAGTCATTCTTTTTGACACAGAATAAAAGAAAAATAAGTTCACATAAATTGAAACGGAAGAGTAATATTTTAAGTAAATTCCGTTCGCGCGTGTGAAAGCAATTTATAATAATGATGGGTAATTAAAAACTTCTAAGTCAACTTTTAAAAATAATTAAAACTAGACTCCTAGAAAATTTATATCTTGTTCACATTCTTGGTGAATTTTGCACCACAACTTTGTGAGATCCATTGCGTAATTGCTAGTGATATCAGCATTCGAACGCACCTAAAAAGTTGTAATTCTGGATAACACAAAAGGGTCCACTTGCAAGTATATATCCTAATTAATTAGGTGCACTTTATGAGATCTGTATATTGCGTAATCTTGGTGAGATCAGCAGCATTGTCCATTGATGTGTATTATTCTATGAGATTTCTTTAATTTCATGGGGCAGGTGTTGTGAATAAGAAGAAAAAGAACAACCTAATTTAGGGGATCATTTGAATCCTACACCTATGTGAGTGGGTGTTGAAACAGGTTTAGCGTCTTTTATCGAAATAAAATTCATTCAAATCACCTCATGTTAATATCAAATCACAGTAACTTACCAATTTCGCTTGATAAATTGAAGCGAATATATATATATATATATA